GGATTCTCCTAGAGAATTCTTTCTCTTAATTCAAATGACCCTAGCTAGGGATTTACTTGAGCAAGAACATATATGATATTTCTCTCGTGACACCAAGAGTGGATAATTCTCTATCAACACTCAATTGCCCTCGTAAGGTTGACTACCACTCCTGATGATGGGTTGTGCTAGATTTAGAACATCTAGATCTATAAATACGATATCAAAGAGCGGAGTACTCATACAAAGCATCCTTGGTATCTCAAGTTTAAGGACTAAATACACAACTGGGACCACGGAATCGATGTCTAATAATGAGGCATCATTAACCATGCAACATTCCGTGAGCGGATCAATAAGTGAACTCATTCTCCAATGAGTACATGCACTATATCCTTAGTGTCCCCACACAAGCAGCAATGAGATCAATCGCCTCCATCATATGAATGGGTATATAGCATACCAATCTGTTAGGTTATCTCAATGTCCCTCTCGAGTAAACTATGACCGGGATCATTTAGAGTCTATGTTTAAAGGTGAATCAGTCTCATTATCGTAATCTCATCACAATCCGATTCTCATTGCACAGATATATAAACATCACAATATATACAACATAACATTAAGTAAAAAAATATTAATAATAATAATAAGAAAAAAGACAGCATAGTCTATCACACATGTCATCACTCACATGATTGACTTACAGGGCATCTATAACTAGAAGAACTTTGATTAAGTAGAAGAACTTTGATGGTTGAAGGCCACTAATGTAAGCATTAATTAGGACAAATAAACTCTAATGAACCACCAGCCTGACTTTGTTATTGAATCATTTACTATAATTTGCCAAGGATTTCTTATTCATCTATTGTATAGCCAAGAGGGAGGTTGTAGGCTTCTTAGAAGGAAGAGATTGATTCTGGAGGTAACTTAGAGAATAATTCCTCGTTGCCCCTTTGAGAGTCAATGGTAAAATACAAGAATCTATCATTTCGAATAGGGCCATTTGGAAGGTGATTATAGTTATATATTCGGTGGGGTCAAACTCCCTTCGTATAGTTCTAATGTCCACATTCAGAATTACTATAGGATCGGCTCCTCCATGATGCTCTTGACAAAGGGAGACTTTAGGTATAGATCAGCTTTGAGTTGCTTTCCTTGCCTAGTCTCCTTTTTAATGTCCTCTAGCTACTGATATATCTCGAAGAGCTGAACTCATACATTAGGAGGAAGTTTAATCAACTAAGCTACTGACTCCTTTAGTCCTATCTCTTGAAAAAGATTATTGAGTGGACCGTGAGAGAGGAGATTTGGAGGAGAGTTATTCTCTTAGTGTAGATCAGACATAGGAGGGTGCAATTCTACCATTAGACTAGGGGTTAGAGTTGGTGGTGGAAGTGGAGCTAGAAAATGGGGAGTGAGTAGAGTTGGGTGTGGTTCTTGTAGTATCAGTTGGACTAACTATAGAAAATAAAGTGTCATAGTCTGAAATACCCTTGTCAAGATTTAAACTTGCTTGAGTTAGATTGTGGAAGATTTCAACGAGTATAGTTATGGTTTGGGCCATTGAAGCTAGAGGTTGGGCGAGTGGTGGTGGATTGGTCGTCTGAGTCCTAGAATAATAGATGAAAGGGTAAGGGATTAGGTAACTGGAAAGTGGGAGGAGTGATTCTAACCAAAAGACTAGGCTGAATCAACCTTGGGAGGATTGAGATTGGTGAGTTCAGTAATAGATTATTCGATACGATTGGGCTCGGACCTCCTTGTCAATTCGACCCGTTAGAGTCTCTCGGCCCATTAGACTCTTCATGATTCGACCTAGAAGGTCATGCAAAATTTTCTTAAGACATCCTAAAATGTCCTCTTTCTAGTGCCAATCTATAGTATAGATTATGGCTGTTCGAGCTGGAATGATGATTTAGATCCAATCGAGGTCCTTTTCGAGTTTTTGTCTAGGCCAATATTCATATAATGTCGTTCCTACATGATGAAGTCGAGGCCACTCCTAACAAATATCCCTCTAATGGTCAAGTTAGTTCAAAATTTAGACTATTCAAATTAGTCAGACAACACAAATGAGAATTGTTAAGTCTTAGGAGCGTACTTGAGTATCCCTTTTATAGGTGACTCTAAAAATCATTCTGCTTGTGATCATCGGTGGTTAGAAGGGAACGTGTGATGTTTTTTTGTTGAATTATGACATTGCACCTAACGCTCATGATGACTAGCTTGGTCTAAGTCGTGGGCACATTCTTTGAGTCTCTTGTGACAATCATGGAGTTCGGAAGATCGACGGGTCGATCACATATCATCACATGCTGCTAAAGTACCTCTCGATTCGATCGTCATCTACAAGTCATATATGATCGTCACAGTCTTGAATAGTTTGTCTATCGACTATGTGTCATCATATGATGATATCGTGTCTATCTTGTTATTCTTTATCTATCAACTTTAAATTAGTAACAAATATTTATCTCACCGGTGGTAAAACAAAACATTCATGGTTGGCCCAAAGAAGATGTTTCATCCTCCAATTATTCAAGTCAAAATATTTTCAAGATGATTATCCACATACAAGCAAAGAAAGAGAACGAAGTTTCTGCTCCTTCGAAATGACATTTAGCAGTAAGTAGATCAAATAATATAATAACCTTAACTAGTACTTGGTAATAATACAGCGATAGAAATATTACCAAGCATTCATACACTGGTAGAGAGTTGCAATACCTCCAGGAGTGTTACTATCTGTAGCGGAAGCAATCATATGAAGCCAAAAAAATTGTAGCCAGTGATGTACAACTTTAAAATCTTCTCCTATAAATCTACAGATTGCTAAACATCTACCATCCGCCTGTGATGTACTACTTTGCGGCACAATACAGTGTCTATTCAAGTTCGTCGTTCAAGCTTGTGAAGCAAAGCTTTCTTCTCCTCTTCGTGGAAGGGCAATGAACATGATGAATATAGATATGTCACCAACATCATCCTTCAAAGAAGTGCTAAAGAAAGAAGATTAGAGAAAATCCAAAATCATAAATTTAATAATTTCACATATCGGCAACTTCCAAAATAGAACCTTAAAGGGCTGTTGAAACTTTCTCCGATTCTAGTTCTTACTGTTTATATGTTATGATATGAATATAACAAATCAATTCGTTATGTATGGACAATGATGTGCATCCAGCAAGAATTAAACCTACGAATTTACCAATTATGCTACAAACACCACGAAAAGAGCCATTTAATATTATGGCTTTGCTCGTAGAGTGAATGTGCTGAGAAACTGCAAAGAATGCGACAACCTTTTTTTTAAGATAAATTTCACGTAATGATAGAAGATCATAATAGAGATACACATAACATCTTTATATCTTTATATCCTCGATCAAGTACTCAAATCATACAATCAGATCAGCTACTCAAATCCATGTGCGCTTGATCTTCTATCATAATCTTTTATTTGAAAATATTATTTTTTAATAAAATTATATTATTTTTTAATTGAGTTTTACTGTTTTCGAATATGATTACAGTCTTTTCTAATAGAACCTAAAAAGTGGTGTAACCTCATGTAAAAACAGTGCAACTCAGGTTAAAAAAATTTGTATTTTTTAAATTTCATAAAATCATCTATGACAATATTCAAGTGATTTTTTTTTTACCCAATTTGACACTGAAATCATCATAAATTGGCCAAAATAAAAATAAATCAATTTTCTAAAAGATAAAAATTAACTAAAAATAAGATTTTTAAAGGTCCAAAAATAGAAAACGCATTAATTTAGGCTTCATAAGATAGATATTTTCAAGGCTTCATGAAAATTTTGGACAAAAAAATTATAATTTCATCTTATATTGGCCAAAAATGAAAAAGATATATAAATTTTCAGGTCTTGAGGTTGAATTAACTAAAAATGGACTTCAATAGATATTTTCAAGATTTCATAAATTTTTTAATATTTTTGGATTCTTGAATGTGGTTATACTATTTTTTTAATACCACCTCAAAAATAGTGTAACTTAGCTCTAAAAAATATTATCATTAAAATTTAAGAAGTTTAATATTTTTTATTTACTTAAAATATTCTAATATTAGTATTGTATTTCATTTTACTTATATGTTCAATATTATGATTTTTATTTTATATTTTCATAATTTGTTCATTTTTGTAATTTCAATTTGTCCGTAATTTCAAGAGCAATTTTACAATTATTTTGTATTTTTATTGATATAAATTGATATATATATATATATTATAATTTATTTAATATTTTAGATATTATTTATATTAATTTTATTCAGTTGAAAGCATTGGTTTAGTTGAATTGATTAAAAATGAAAGAGAAACGAGGAAAAAGCGAAACGAGGAAAAAGCCTATGTGTGGACGGATGATCATGGAATGTATGATGTGTGCACATGTGATGTGATTATTATTATTATTAAGGCTTACGAGTCTATTTTTCTTATTTATTATCGGACCTGCGTACCTATAATTAAGTTGTAATCACACGATGGGAGTGTGAAAGTGATAACAGGACCCACGAGGCCGAGACGGATGATCGTGACGCATGAAGATGCGTCGAGATGCCGACGGAACCGTCGAGGACGAGATGGATGATCATGATATTTTTCAGATCTGATTCCGACGTGCAACCATATATTCTTTACAAGATTTCTAATCTACACAAAAATCTAACAAAATACATTATATGTAATGACGTGAAGCATACAAGCAATTCACAGCCTTTGCCTCGAATAATTCAGCTCAAAGTTGTTGGCTTAGACAATGTTTTTTGTTTTTCTTTATTAAGCGCCACAGCCTAATAGAAAGATAGCATAGCAGAAGCATGACCAGAAATCAATGAGTTCGAGTTTGTCTTGAGGTTCTCCTCAACCAATAAAGACTCGCAAAAAATAACTTTGAACCGATATCGACAGAAATAACACCTACCTCGATCGGTACAGCCGGCCGATAAGTTCATCAGATCTGTTGTTGATTAGCAGAGGACGAACGAGGAGCAGAAAACCCTTGCCACAGAATTCTTTATAATCACAGAATTTGCATTACATGATGGAACAAGTATTTCGGCTGGATTCAGCACCAGGCTTAAAGGTGGGATTTATGTTAAATAGAAGTCAAGCAACACCTTAGATCTTGTTTCCAGCATTGTTTTGGCACTTATATATGTCATTCAAGAGCAAAACCAGCAAAATGAACAGCCCAGTACCTGGTAAAGGGCAATGCAGGAGCAAACCTTAGCAGCACCACCATGTCCCACCGAGAACTGCCATGAGCACAGTTCCCCTGTTCAAAACAGAGTTTTGTGCGATATGGGGGGGATGTGCAAAACCAAAAGACAGGATATCTTGAAGCCTGTTGTGTGTTGGTGGCATGTCTCACATGTATGGCGGCAACCCTGGAGGCGGCATTTGCTGGTAACCGTTCTCTGGACAGTTGTGTGTGGCCCTCTCAGGTGTAGCTCGTTGAGTGAAGCCTCCTGGCACAGGGCTCTCACTGGGGTTGAAAGGGCCCCACCAATGAGACTCACCCTCGACAGGAATCCATGGCAGTGGGCTGATGCCATCTCTACCCCATCCATAAAACCGATCAACATGTCTACCTAGGTTATCACCTTCTTGATGATTTCTGTTTACGGATCCAGAGACTGAGAAGCCGTAAAACCCCCCTACTTCAGCTGAGGAAGGAGCTCCAACTGAGGAAACAAGGGTTACTCCCCTTGGTCTCATCCTCCTAATGGGAGTGAATGGGGAGCTCAGGAGTGATGAGGAAAATAACGATGGCTGATACATGTGACTGCCGAGACCACTATTGTGACCCCTAACCTCTCCTGTCATAGGTGGGCCTACTGATCCGACTAAATTGCTTCCACTGCGTGCGACAGACCTACAATTGTTAGGACAGTGATGAAGCACCATCAAGAAATTCAATTATAGCATCTCCAGAAATAAAGACCCCACATTACACAATTCAAATGAATTGAAGAGGGCACCTACCCATGCATGAGAGGATGGGGATGCACAAAAGATCCCAGTCTATGCTGGTTGCCAGTATCATTTCTCGACATCCTGACACCATATTGAGATGCAGACTGATCTGCATTTCCCGAGAAAGGAAAAGAAAGAGGGTGCTGTTGCTGCCAACTGTGGGTTTGTGGTGGCTCAGTTGCAGGAAAACTGTGGGAGTTCATCATATCAGAAGATGACTGTGCCCCCAAGCTAACAGGATGCTGATGAAATAGACCACTATCGGGAACAGAATCAGCAGAACTCAATGGTGCAGCACGCATAGCATTAGGAAAGCCGTGTAGGGCCAAGTATGGGCATATATGTGAGCTAGTTGAAGAATTTGTAGGGTCTTGGAACATGGAGTTACCCATGAACTCATGATCTTCAATGAAAAGGGAGAAAGGGTTAGAGGGAATAATAATTATAGAATTATGATATAAAACTGATGATGAAGGTATAATGCTTACAAAAACTCGGGACTGATTCCGCTTCCCTGCAGGAAGAACAAATCTTTAGTTCAAACACTAATCATAATCTAGATCATGCAAAAATTATGAGAAAAGAAGAATGCAACATTATTTTCTATTATAAACAATAGGGAAATTTGAGCAATCATAAACTGTCACCACGAAAACTTGTTAAATTAGAAAATTATTCACCCGAAAACTTTCCAAGAAGCTTGAGGTATAGTTGATCTATAATCAACGGCATCTATGGCTCAAAATTATAGGTCTTGATTTTGTTTATCCATTCATGCTACTACCATTCTGAGCTGGACTAATCCTAAAGAAAAAAAGACCACTATTTGCCAAAGTGAAATTTTTTAATGAAGATAAATAACAGGAAAATACCTTACAGGTGGAATAGATTAAGTTTAGTAATGAGTCCAGGTCTGAACTGAAACAAGTATTTCTACTCTTTTGAGTTCAAGAATCATTTCTTTTTATGCACTCTTTTTATAAGTATTTGGTTGCTATTAGTTCAAATACTAGTAAAGTTTGCTGGAAGATAACTATATTACCTGAGTATAGAAAAAGAAAATAAGATCCAAATCTAGAGTCCTAGCCTATATAGGGTTCAGTCGATGACATATATCAATATGCTGATGTAGTCAGCTGAAAAAATTGTTAATAAAAAATGCGAACTTGTTGAAATGGTTTCAACCAGCCAAGAAACTAGGCTCTCAGTTATTACGCCAAAAGATGATGACATATATCAATATGCTGAATGAAATGGATTGCCTTTATCACTCTTGTTTTTCATTGTGTTCTGTGTTACCCTGTTTGTTCCCTATGTCCTATGCCCTTTTGCTATTTTTCTATTCATTCTTCAAAGTGAACAATTTTTCCCTGTTAAATATTGAAATTACAGCCTTTTTGCTTCTCTAATCAACCTTGGATGTGTTTTCTTTCCGGAACAAAGCTCAACAGCTCCAGAAATTTAATTTGCCCGGAGTATATGAAGGACAGACAAGATGAAAACAAAAGGGTCTGAAGCTTCCTTTATTTGCCAACTCAAATTGACAAAGATTAAAACAAGGATCACAGTGTTGATGAACTGAACATGAAATAGAAGAAATTCATGAAAGTTATATATCCTCCAAGTGAAATCACAGGCAACCAGATTGAGCAATCTATGAAGATTGAATACAATTGGATGATCATTTGTTTCGCAAAAAGACAACTAAAGCAACCAACAAACAAGGAGCTGCATTACCAGATTGAGCATCCATTTCAACCAGCAGAATCTAAGTTTGTCGTGATCATGATAAGGACCAACATAAACGGCTTGATTTGATCAGATGTGAGCCCAATGATAACAAGGTCCCAGTGTGACAAAACTGCTGAGAACTTGACAACCAAAAAATCGTCGTGATGAATTTCTATATGCTTAAATAGGAAGGATGAGATATACAAAGCAGAGTGAATGGAGTGGTCCATAGTCTTACCACAGTTTGAGTATAGCTTAAATCAAGACTGTGTATGCTTAAAGCAACGTTGGTTTTGCGTATGAAATCGGCAGTACATACCAGTCAGCCTGACAATCGGTATGGGGACGAACCCATTTCGGGTGGTACACAAGAAGTGTACCGCTTGATATGCCCCCTATATCGGGCGATATGATCGAAACTCAATCGTTACCGACCTATATTGGTCCGTCGGATTCCGATTGTACCGGTTCACTTGGGTCAAAATCATATGGGTCAATGATCAATTTGACCGTTGAACCCCTCTTTCACTCCCTTTCACACTCTTTCTCCCTCTCTTTCTCACTCACTTTCTCACTCTATTTCTCAATTAAGCATCATAATCGGTGATTAGAGCTCATTGGAACTTCAAAACCTTCAAGCGAAGGGATTTAAATGTGTCATTTGATGGAAGCTCTCTTCAATTAAAGGTATTTATGCTCTTTCAACATTTTAATTATCTTTTGACATAATTAGATCCTTATTAGTGTATTATTATGAATAATTAGGTTGATTAGTGTTTTTTCTTTTAGGTCTAATAGGTCCAGTATTATACTTTTAGGTCTAAATTACAACTAGTTGTTCCCCAACGATCTAAAAAAGATAACTTTGCTATCTTATCCTAAAAGAACAATTGCTGGCCATTTATGACTCATTTGCACTCTCCTCTTATTGAAATTGAATTCAAATTGCATTAAAATAGGATTAAAAAGTTTTATATTTTTCAGGTATTTTTTGGCTATTTATTGGTCATTTTCCCAAAACCGGCACATACCAGCGTACCAACATACTATATGCTGGTACCAACTAGTACATACCGGTCTGGGCCAAGACTGGTACTGCTGGTTGGAACGAAACAGTGAACCTTGGCTTAAAGTGATCCAAGCATTTATCATTTGACGGATGTATCTTGATGTACATTTCAGAAAAGTTTTCTGAGCGTTACTAACTTTAGTTCTGATAAAATCTGGTTGCTAACCATCCTTTTTCTTGAATCATTAATCACCTTATATAATATGCATGTAACGAACAATCTATAATTTTAATATCTGATATACCAGTATGATTTTCAGTGATCAATGTATACATCCCACGCATCAATTCTTTGTAACTGGCCAATTTCAAACCCTAAATACATTCACATTTTATGTTAGTGATCAAGAAACTGAGAGTAGGTTTAATTTCAATTTGGGTGTAACCACCGGCCATCGGCTATCCAAATTATTCAAATTCATAGTTGAAGGCCTAACAAAGCAAGCAATTCTGCATTATTTGTGTTAAATTATCTTACTTAACGACTAACCAAGTAGAGTTTTTTTGTCTCCTGAATTTTTTTTCTTATTTAATAATATTTCCATCTTGAGAAATCAGAAATAGGTTTAATGGAGAAACGAAATAGGATGGAACATGAGAAAAAATTGATACTTTTCCTGCTCCATTGGGTCAGGTGAACTATTCCACTGAGAAGAGGACTTGATTCTCATCAGTCATGCATCTTCACTTTTTTTTGTCAGAATCTTATGAAGAAACTAGTTTCTACCAAATAGCACATGTACAGAATAAATATGTTCATATACAGTTGGAATGTCTACCTTACTGACAAAAGTTTAAGCTCATGCGTCTAAGCAACAACTTATGAAAGTTCAACTAGTTTAGGAAAAATCCAGAAAAAGGTGGAAATGTTAATTTTTATATGGGGACTTGTTCTAATCCTTAAGGCATAACTACGCCAAAATTTCATACCTGCCCATGCGCAGGGAAACTATCTGACCTAGCATGATGGATCAAGAAAATACTGTGCAGATATTTAGCTGAATGTTTAGGCTGTTGTTTCTCATATTTTCTGGTCAAAATTGGATCAGGAAAAACTGGTCTGAAATAAAAGTGGTAAAAGTTTGGGTAACTGCTAAAGATGCAAAGAATTGAAAAATGATGGTTAGTTTTAATAAATGCAGGTTCAGAAAGTGAACCATGAAATGAAAAAACCTAAGAATGAAAATCGGTGGCAAGTTATGGATGACCAGAGAAGTAAAGGAGCAAATCTCAACACTTGTGTGCTGTTGAAGAAGTGTAGTATGAAGCTTAGAAGGATTGGTAAAGACCAAAAAAGAGGAGGATGTAATTATGTAGTGAAACACTGGTATGAAGGAAAATGCAGACAAAAATTTGTATAGGAAGAACATAAAAAGAGTTGCATTAAGGGGAGTTTAGTTTCAAAATCATTAAATATTGACATTAAATAGGCACCAACCGCTAACATCATAACAGAAAAGAAATATAGACTCAAGTGAATTTATCCTCAACTAGTCAAATAACAAGACAACTCCAGAAAGTGAAAAACTGAGCAAGTTAGATCATCTTTCATATTCTTAAAACTCTAGCAAACTATGAGTATGGAGGCAAAAACAAAGCAAGTGACACTAAGACTATGAGCAGGTCTATTTCCAAATTAGATCATCTTTTGAGAAGATTATCAAATATCCAATTCTATTATTTAAAGTAAACCTCAGTGAGCTTATAAAATAAATATAACAAAAAGTAGTGAAATGTCATACAAATGGATCAACCAAAAACCAGAATCATCTATGCACCGTGGAAGTACAAAGCAATACTTGAACAGTTACTATAATTTGCTTTGAGGCAATGACAACTTTTGATAAATTCAACTAACATTAGATGCAGTTCCATAGCATCGTCTATGCTTCACAAATTTGCAAAAAACTATATGAATTATGAAAACTGAAGAACTCAAAAGTTAGATAGACAATAGATAACAACAAGCAGCATAACAACTTAAAAGGCACTAAGGGACCTATAGTAATGAAGAAGGGTACTAAAGATCATACAAGGTGCTAGTCATCAACCATCATCATCACATGAAGTTGCTGATGATGTTGCTCCAGGTAAGTAAGATGACACTATATGTACCACTATATTCAAAAGTTGATGTCTTTACTGTACATATTATGCAAGTAATACAATATTCTTGCATAAACTGCAGCAAACTAATACAAAAGTAAATTTGCTTTAATATACCCCAAACTAATGTCATTCAATTTTTTTCCTATGCATGGTTTGTGTTGATTCCATAATTGTAAATTGAACATGTTAGATTCAGTTTGAAAATTTCTTTAAAACCAATCAAACCAATTTGTGTGTACCCCTTATATTATGTGATTCTCTAACATAATGTCGTAAACTATTCTTTTTATTCTGTTCCTTTGTCCTTCAAAGTTCAAACAATGAAATGCAGATACACTTTTGCCACACCTAGCCTAAAGTATCTATTGTCCTCCTCCAGACTATAATACCTCTGTAGTTGTATAAAAAAAATGCCAGATTAACTATTATTGAGATATCACCTCCCTAAACTTTGATTCCCTTAAATATTCTCAAGCATCTACTTTTACATAGAGCAACATGAGGTGAACGATACAAAAAATTTCCTCTTTGCAGTAAGCTCCAGCCAGCCTGAACTCATAAATACTGCTTAGTGCTACTGGTATTTGAAACCATGGTCACACAAACACCCTAAACACACATTTCCATTTTAACTACACTCTTTATTTACAAATATGACCATTTTCAATCTCTCTTCAGCAGGTTAAAAGCACCAGAAATTTCACTTCAATTATATATTTCAACTCTGTAGTCATTGCCATGTGTTCTTGTACTAAAGTCGTAGTACCTACTATTCGGCCCTAATAGATTTAGTCTAAAACCCTACTATTAAAACTTCTTCACTACTTAGAGCTTGTCCAACTCTTCTCAACAAATTAAATATCATTGTCAAACAACACAAGTCAAAAGACTTCATATTGGTTTTGCTAGCATGTTCATCTATTACAAGTGAAATCGGGAAGACCTAATTAGCCCTTAGTTATTCTTATTGTATCCTCTGCAAATTGGGAACCCACTTGTCCTACCTACTAATTCACCATATACTATTAACTGTTTTACCTCGTATAATTTCTAACGAGATCACTGTTTCAGGCACCGGACCTGTTTCGGTACCAATACATACTGGTCAGTACCGGTGTACCATATGTCAGTACATACCAGTACATACCCATGTTTCGGAGAGGAAGAAAAAGGAGAAGAGGAAGGCATGGTGGAGGAAGAGGAAGAAGAAAAGGAGACGGTAGAGGAAGAGGAAGAAGCAAAAGGGAGGAAGCAGGAGGAGAAGAGGTGTACCCATAGGCAGTTGTGCGTGATGGAGGTGTACAGCGTAGGCAGCTGTACACGACAAGCGTGTGGTGATGTGCATGACGGAGGTGTTGCACGTTAGTGTTGTGTGGCATGCGCAAGAAGATTAGGGTTATCACATGGTCCCCATTGTTATCCTTTTTATATGGGCATACTAGAGCGAGTGTGGTCCACGTAGCAGTTCACGCCTGGAACAGTACATACCATATGTTTCGTAGCAGTTTGGGTAAAACATCATTCATTGACTTTTAGTGTATCATTCCTCCAGAAATAGTCAGACTTGCTATTTCACCAACATTATTAATGCCGGCACTATTCACATAACTAATTACTCTATCAATCTTCTTGAGAATTTTTTCCTTTCACATACTTATCTCTAAAGCCTCTAAATGTATTACTTCATATAACTCTGCATCCTTCACAAATAACATGCCCAGTTGCCATACCTGCTATTTCACCGTTACTCTATTCAATGCTGCACTATTCATGTAACTAATGACATTATTAATCTCCTTGAGAATCTTTTTCTTTCACACATATCTGTAGAGACCCTCTCTCATAAAGATTTTTAAGTAGATTGAAACATTGGCATCTTCCTTTTTGAATCTATGTTATTAAATCAGTGGTTGTTGGGACTTATGGCTTTGCTGTTATTGTTGTTGTATTAAATAAAGGGTTATAGTTATGTTCTTTGATTTTTTTTTCTGGGAAAAACCAAACTTATTTTGATGTATAAATGCTTAATATGATTTATCATATGCTTAATGAGTACCTACAAATTACAAAAATGTTTGCACTTGATTTTTGTACGCATTTTCTTCTTGGCATGCATCAGTCTTAAAGGTGCCTATCATAGCTAAGTCATTTTGACAATTTTGTTGCCAACCAAAATTGAGACTCAGAAGTTCAAACCATAAAAATCTACTGCACTGATAAGAACACATAAATTGTTTTAAATGCATGACTTCATGACCAACTCAACAAGGAGATTATTAGATAGAGGAACATAATGAATAATAACATTTACTGCTATGGAATCTTATTATTTGATTTTACCTTTACAAAAAGCCAGAGACAAAAGAATGAACTCCTAGAGTCATCCTATCAGTTGATTTATAATCTAAACTGAACTCCAGTGACTGACCTGTGTGACTCATGAAGATACATGGGGGAAATGATAGGAGTCATTTAACAACGACAAAATCTTGATGCCATGCATATGATATGTACATAAATCAAGTACATGAAGTAATGAACAGCAGGAGTCTGCATTAAGAAACTCCACGGGCAGGACAAGACCACCATGACATATGTAAAGATTTACCATGTAGGGGCCACAAACCAGTTGGCATCAGCAAACAGGACTGACAAATATCAATCAACTATATCCAATGATCAACATGGAACCACATATAACAGATATTAACCTTCGATCTCATTGAATGACTGACACAAATTCAATAAGAAAGAATCAACAATTGGAGCATCAAGGACGTCAGCGAGCAATGTAAATTTGCTACCAAACAATCACTCACATTTGGTGTCTTTCCCATATAAAGTGCTTAGAACATCTTGCAAAGCAGTGATTTAAAAAGACGCTCGGGCGCTCGCCTAGGCGCTCGGGCGAGGCGAGGCGAGGCCCGAGCACCTCGCTAAACTTCCAAGCGACGCGCTTTAAAGAGGCGCCGCCTGGGCACTCGCCCGAGCCCAGGCGCTGGGCGCTTCAGGCGAGCGCCTGGGTTAAACCAGGCAACCGAACCAAGATTTTAGGTCTGGTTCAGTCTTCGGTGGTTAGTTGGTTCAATCGAACCAACTAAAACCGATATCTACTATCGCTACCCAACCCTAACCCTGGTCGTTGCCGCTGCCACTCCCGCTCCCGCTGCTCGCCGCTCCTGCTCCCTCTCCCGCTCCCGCTGCCGCTGCTCACCGCTGTTGCTACCGTTGTCGCCGCTCCCGCTACCGCTGCCTCCTTACACTTCCGCTGCCGCTGCCTCCTTACATTCCCGCTCCCGCTCCCGCTGTCTCCTTACACTCCCGCTCCCGTTGTCGCTGCCTCCTTACACTCCGGCTGCCGCTGCCCCCTTACACTCCCGCTCCCGCTGTCGCTTCCTCTTTTCTCAGTCAGCACACCCTTACACTCCTCTTCCTTCTTCTCCTTCTGTATACTATTAACAATATACTAATAATAGTATTTGAATTTTGAAACTCTTTGTTAATGTGACATTATGAGTTTGTATCTTAGATTTTCTTAATTTAATAACATATTTTTATTTAAAATTTTAAATAATTATATTTATTAATTATATTATATATTTTTATATTTTAGCGTCTCGCTTCGCTCGGGCGAGCGCTTAGCGCCTCGGGCGTTTTTGGACCTTAGCGCCTTTTGGTGCCTAGCGCTTTTTAAATCACTGTTGCAAAGGTGCTAAGCTGAAGGTTATAGAGTTGTTGAGATTAAGATATTAGCTATTACTACACTGTAGCATACAAAATAAATATTGAAGTCGACCATAAAAGAAAATTGCAGCAAACATATGTCATAAAATAAAACCAATCACATTTAAACCTTCAATAAAATATATAAGATTCAAAATGATACTTAGTTAAAGTTGTAAAATAGCTTACTCGAATAATGATGCCAGTTGAGTAAATCCGCGGAAAGGCAACCACTGAAATCCAAAGGGCTGCAAGAAAACATTAATACAATGTTACCAACATCTTAAAAATGTGGGATGGTAAAGGAGCAAAAAGTTCAAAAGAATGAGATAGTATACATAACATTACAAGTAAATAGCTAGTTTGAGAATAGACAGCATTGTCATTTTCCTTCCAGCAATCACTCCATTTTCATCTACTTGAAAAGTGAAAAAACCAAAACATGCAAGCTTCAGCCTAGATTTTGAGCCGTAAATGAATGAAAATCATATAAAAACTTCACCAATAATTTGGGTCAGAAATAAAGGAAAGTTATTGTAGGATATATCCTGGCATCCCACATAGCACTAATCCTCTTAAGCCTTCAAAAAATTCCTCACAAAGCAGTTTGCTCGGGCCTAAATTGCTAGGTGGTAAACAAACTCAGGAGGTAATAAATTAGTACTGATAAATTTTTAATTTGAACTCCACCAGTGATTCAAGGTCATCAATAATTAGATTCAAAGTCATCAATAATTAGAATAACCTAATAAAATAAAATGCTTAAACCCCATAATGATACCCACTTTGATTAAATATATAAAATCACTAACATAGTGTTGAAAACTTAATTGAGGCTTGTTCCACTAATTTTTTTAAGTGGAGAAACTTCATAAATGTAAAGATTGATTTGCAACTACAATGGAATAGCCTAATAGAAGTAATAATTGATAGTTAGCTATCATGACTGGAAACCAGTGTTTGACATACCACCCAAAACAATACAAAACAGGCAGTATGTACTAGTCCGCCAACTGACCGGTATGCAGACTAGCTCGTTTCGGGCAGTACAAAGGAAAATGGCCAAGAATCGGCAGGTGCCGGTGATGTATCAGTCAAAAATGGTCGAAACTCACCCAAACCAAGTCAAGTTTGACCCCAACGGTCAAATTGACCATTGGAGTCTCTTTTGGGGCTTTAAATTCCTTCCTGTCCCCCTCTCCCCCCCCCCTCCACATTTCATTCACTCTTTCTCACACTATCACTTGTGATTACGATTAGTGGTAGTCAACCTATTGATTTGGATAAAAGAGGAAGTCAAACTCGATATCTAGTGAAATTTCTCTCCAATTTGAAGGTATTTAGCTTCTTTCTATGTTTTATTTATCATTTCATATAATTAGAGGTGTATTAATGCATATTTACAAAGATTAAACATGATCAAGGTCATTCTGTTGCATTAGTCCCGATTAGGTCTATTGTCTTATATTTAGGGCCAAATTGGCGGCCTATGGGGTTAACCACAGCCTTATGCATTTATCTATGCTTGATATACAATTAATTAAATGCAGTAAAATCACCATTAACTAGAAAAAGATATTTTTGTGAAGTTCTAGCCATTTCTCGGTATTTTTTTCTGAAAATCAATATGTACCGGCATACCAACATTCAGTATGCTAGTACCAATCAGTATGTATCGGTCCACCCATGCACCAATACCATCAGTCGGCATGATACAGCGTTTGCTGGAAACTACAGTTTCTTAAGACAATCTATTTCAATTTCTCCAGCCAGTTATTCAGTGAAGTCAAGAGACCAATATATTTAGGTTGGAACTCAATGGTAATAATGCTGATTCAACTATGATGGAAGTTCGGGCTATGTTCTTAGTATTTGTGACTTTTGAGTAAATTCATCTTTGGAGCATCAATAGATCACTTGCTATTAGTCTTAGAAGTGTTATTTTGGGGAAAAAGCGAAACCTTATTAAGTTGGTTTTCATCTTCGTCCTGAAAGTACTAGATATCCTATCAACAAGAATGTCATCAGCAGGACAAGCCAACAGAGTGGTTATGTCAGTTAATTTCGTTTCTGATTTAAGTCATACAGGATACCAACAGTCTTGTCATGCCTAGTCCATAAGGGTACATTATTTATTTTTTTGAGAAATAGAATGCTTGTAAGTGATCTTTGTGAGAGATCCATACCCTTGCACTACTGGTGCCATCTTCTATCTATTTTCTTTTTAGCTCAAGCCTCACTTGTTCAATTGGAATCAATGAGCCTTGTTTCTGTCACTCTCCAGCCGAATCCTGCTAACTTTAACCAATTTTTTGCTTTCTACGGAGGTTTAAATAATTCTATGGTTTTAATAGAACAAAAAATACAGTGTCCTATCTGTAGTTATAATAATTGAAGGTCACTTGCATCCATTTTCAATGTAGCATTGCCATATGTTATCATTATTTAGCCCTCGTCTCACCCATTACTATCCATGATTCACACAGTTTAGTGGTCCTAACTTACTTCCCTTCTATTTTCTATATTAGAAGATTTAGCTCAAATTTATTAAGCTTTCAAAATTAATGATTTATACACTGGAGATCTAATAGTTGATAATTCTAGATTCTAACCCCTGTCAATTTATAATTTAAAAACCAATTTAAATTTCTTTTTTTATTTTTACATATATTTCCTTTGTCTAGGCAATATTTTTTTGTCATCAACATTTTTATCCATCACGACCACCCTAAAGATGAACCTCATGATTTGTGGATCAGATTATAAATTGATAATCTTTCGTAGGTAAATAGTCCCACAGCAAAAGTTCTGATCCAGCATAGCAATGCACAAGGTGATGAGATATCAACCAAGTCATAGTATGAGCATGGCAGTGGCAGCGATAGTGGCAGTGAGCTGATTCAGTTCAATCGCTCTTTCACAGTGAGGCAAATCACTCTCACCAGTGCATGAACTTTGGCAGGAATGCCAACATGAGACAACTAAGTAACCCTCCTCCCTTGACAGGAGAAGCAGTATTAGGCAATCAGGATACAGAAGTTTCAGTTATTTCAACAGGATACTAGCTCCTGATGTTTTTTATCTGAATCCTAAGGCATTTCAACTACAAAGTGTGAAGCAGACACACAATGACTATGCCTACATGAAGCAGAAGAAAAGGGATATTAAAAAAGCAATTGCAAAAATGAGAAGACTTTCACCGATTCATAGCAAATGCAACACAAGGCCCTTGCTATCATAGTATAGGATCCACCATCTGGAAGGTGGGTCCAAGCATACAGCCTTCCACCACAATAGAGATACATGACAGTTATCTAGATGAGCAGGCATGGAGATAAGAGATTATATTGTCATTTAAGAAGCAATGGATCTCTACAGTGGTATACTGACATGAGACAGCTGATCCGAGTCCAATGGGATGAGCATCATCAACTATCTAGTTTATTGCAATAGAATAATATTTCATAAGTATGTTGATGCTTTTGATCAAATTCATGATGCACACTACAAAGAGGGCTTAATGGAATCATCATTGAGGAGACTGGACCGTAGTATGTAATGCATGTGGTCACAAATAATAAGGCAGACTTCAATAAAGTAGGCTTCACTAGTACTCTAGTAGTACAATAAATCTATATAGAAAGCCACGGGAGATGTTACATGCATAAGTTCTTCAAAATTATAATATTAATCCACAATTGAGAATAGGACTTGGTCTTCTATTGAATCATGACAATCTTTTGGCCGTAGTAGGCTATTTATAAGATATATCATTTTAGATCATATAGGTAATACATGTATCATATAGTAATCCACGAATGATGTTTTTGTCTTATATGGTATTCAGTAGATGGTCAAATCACGTTGTCATTCATATTTGACATTTAGCAAACATAAAGTTTTTACCAATTAAAAATTGGCCCAAAATCAATTCAATTAAAACCAACCAGTTTGACCCATAACTGTCGGTACCAACTCATTCTAATAGAATACAGGTGCATACCTGTGCCATACTAGTACATCCAAGGATCAATATTGATATTGAAACAAGATTTTAATCCTTGGTCTAAAACCCATAGATTTGATCTCAATTAACTCTCATGTGTTCATCATCATGAATTGATGCATGATAAGTAATAAAATAGGTATGAAGCAAGAGAGTAATGCATGCAAATGATAATTTTTTAACACATTCAAGAATCTAACTTTAAACTTACAAGTTCATTTCTCACTTGAGATTGGAAGCTTGATTGGAGAAGAGAATGAAAGAACAAGAAAGAAGGCCAATTTGGAAGCTTGAAATAGATAATTTCAGCCAAAGACCATTCGGATTATTTTGAATGAGCAGGAAGCAATTATGTTCAAGCAATAGACTTACCACCCCATATGGGTGTGGTACAAGACCAATACAAGGTAGACTCAGTAGTGGATTAATGAGCGTTAAGAACAGTATGTGCCTGCGCCATCCAGTTTTACCTATTCCATGTACCAATAAATTGTTGAGCTAGTAAACAGAATTGATACATACTGCTCCAACTAATATTTAATCTCTGCCACTCAATATCTCAATACCATATTGGTCTGGAGGTTGTTGAAACCAATATAAAACTGGCCTTTGAACCCATGCTTAGGAGTAAGCAAAGAAGCATTTTTTAGGGAGGTACAGGTATATGTAGTCAATATATAGTCACTTAGACATGTTTCTGTTGGTTCACATACTTATCAATATTGTGTGCTAGTTCTTCCAGATTCTACTAAATTTTCAAGTTCACTCGGCAACTCACCTTTTATTCAAAACACCAGATATGTAGAAACAAACCAACCAAAACCAGGCGTTCAGGTCATTATTGATTTGGATTGAGGCCCACTTCATGGGTAGCCTCTGAGTATCAAGGTCATAATTGTTCATCAAGGACCTTAAAATTTCATTAGCTTGGTATAGCTTTATCATACACTTCAAGAAAAGAGCAAGCCTAATGCATAAAGCTCCTGCCAATTACGTTTATCATATACATATCCCAATTGACAAAGATCATTTTTCAAAGGAGAAAAGTAAGAATGGAATTTCTATGCCTTACAACTAAGCATTAATATGGTATTGTCCACGATGACAACCACTATCAACGAACCAGACATGACATTCACAAAAAAGGGATAAAACAAAAAGGTCGCAACCTTTAAAAACAATTTTCATAAAGAAAATGTTCATTTGTCTCATCACAAAGGACTAATATAGACATAGAAAAGAACAGGAATGTTAAGTAGCTCATCCATCAGCTTTTCAACTACAAGAAACATGAACCAAACAAGAAGTGTACATAAATGTGCTAGGATTCACATACATCACTATGCACCTTAAACATGCTATTAGCAAACCAGTCATGGATGTAAGATCTGTAGATTTATTCCTTGATACAAGTATTAACACAAGAACCAAACCCTTTAACATTAGTTTATAATAAGTGAATTAATCTTCCTCCATGCATGAAACAGTCTAAGAAAAAGCTATGAATAACCTTCTCAAAAAGATTGTTAATCCATAAAAAACATACCAGCTCAGAGTAACCAAGATCATATATGTCCTCAGTCACCCAGCCATCAATATCAAAATCAGCAGAGGAATGGTTGCCATTTGCATAAAGCCACCGACCTTTCTCAACTTTCCGACAATTTGGACATTGCATTGCTCCCTTTGCATTAAAGGCTGACCCGATGCAATCTGATTAAGTAATAGATATAAGATAATAATTAAATAATGACACAACAATCGGAAAACTAACTACATAAGAGTTATTTTTAATGCTTTAGCATAGGAAGTTAAAAGTGGTAAAGCATAACTGATTATTTCATTTATGTATTATAATGCATATCAACCAAAAACAACTGAAATTATATTAGATCATACAAACACCTCTGAACAAATTTCAATTTAGGACATAGGGATGTTATGATGTTGACATTGGGTCAACCATAATTTATCAATGTGTTGGAACACAGCTATTGACAAACAAAAAAACAAAGTTCCATGGTCCGTCATGTAATTCTTGTGCTAATCTCAGAATAAGTTATGACATACTATTTCTTGCATTAAATAATAATAATATCCAAATTTGAGCCAAAAATTGTGCAACATTAACATCACTTTTTTTTCATCTCAACTGTTTTAATATTTCTGTTCTTTTACCGCTAAGAATGTCACAAGAAGGTCACAATCAGTCCAAGCTTATATGATGGGCAATTCTCCATGTAATAACATATATTCATTATAAAAACTAAAAAATGATCTTACCTGATTTTACATTTCTTGTGATTAGTAGAGTGTGGCTTCGCTTTCAATATGTAGTAGAAATTTATTTACTCCCCAAACTAGCTAATTTCAGTTAATCATATGGAAATGTTATAGCTGGATTTAACAGTAAGATCCCAATTTTTTTCATATCTCTTGTATTTATAAACCTAGTCAATAAAAGCCAGATAGAACATAAAGCTCCAACCAAAGGGAATTTGTTAGCAAGGTTCACCTTAGCGGTCCATACCAATATACCAATTGGTTGTGGGTATAGTACATACCGAACTGTATTGACATACCAACATACGATATGGTGGGGCATACCAATGTACCACTATGGACCGCTCATACTGGTATCCTGTCGAATAAGTATGTATCATCCACATCGAGCAGTATGCTGTGGTACGATAAACCTTAACTCAAACCCTTGACATCTTAATCATGGTAGCGCAACATTATCGCACCTCATTCTTCATATAGGTTGTATGACTAAAAAAATCAGTGTTTTGCTGAATTGACATTATCCTGCTCAAATTTGCAAGTAATGTTTGTTACAGTAGTAGTTGGGATATTTAATTCAGGATTGAAATAGAAGGAAGCCCAAAGCTCTCCTAGGATCCCTTGCCTCCCTGGCTCACCCACCTTACACCCAATTACCAAGTAGGACTCCTATTCCCAAAATTTTGTGTCTGATCTCTATTCCCAAAATTTCATGTGTGCACTTTTGCTAGGATGCAATGCTTAATAAATGCAATTATAGTTTTGAATAATGTGTCTTAAACAAACTAAAAACACACACAAGCCACATAATATGTAAAAGAGGGTGGCACAGATCTTTCTCAGGCCCAATTTATATACAAGTGATGTCACCCTTCCTCTATCCTCTCTTTTTCATCATTCTCCCTCCTGATCTCCCTCCCTCTATCTACAAGTGACACTTCTCTCTCTCAGCCTCCCTCCTTGCCTTGCTATCTCTCTCTACCAGATTACCATGTTGAGCAAGCCAAACAGGGTATGGCTGGTGTGTCTGTTCCTCAATGGGCTAAGGATTGAGCATGGGATTTGGAACTGTCAAGGTATAGGGAGGGAATGGGTTTACTTATACATAATTAGGACAAAATCATGGCTGACAAATTATAACTTTGACCCATCCCATTGCCAATCCACAATCAGCAATGCATGGGACCTAACAAAACTAAGTGTTGCACTGTCATTACCTCAACATTACAATATTTCATTTTCTCATGGCAAAAAGTCTTCGCTTTTTTCATACTCTAAGATACTCTTTAAATCATATAAGCACTATCGGCACTATCCTAGAGAAAGTGCTACAAGCAGAAGTTTTTTTTTTCCAAATAAATAAGCAATTTTGAGAAGATAGAGCATCCAGACAGTGAAATGACATGATTTTAGTATGCCAACATGTCAAATCTTGATGAACGTGATGAGAAATGGATACGGTTGTTGTCAAACATGACTCTAAGGTATATATTATTCAGTATAACAAAACTTGACATTATTTAGATTGTCAACATATGTAGTTGTAGACCATAACAAAGTTTTAAATTCCAGTCTAGTATTTATTTAGGTAACAGTATGGTACCATTATATTAGATGTTGTCCAGTATCATTTAATAGAGTAAAAGATGATTTGTACATGTACCTAGTTGGTCAGACTAGTAAATATCAGTCGGTCTGTACTGGTTTGGCTGGTTCTCAAAATCTTAGATCATAGTAAATAACAAGTAGCTAATCATTATTCTAATTTATTTACCATGAAAGTAGGCATTTTCAAATAGTACAATAAGAAGTTAAGAACTCATACTAAAAGAATTAACATGATATTATTATTCTAATTTCATTACCCACGATCCAATCACAATACAAACAACATCTAAAATCATATTTTAATCTTATCTATCATCGTGTGATAAATGTTTAAGCAGGGATCGTCGTACTAACCCATACCGCCCGATATGGGCGGTACAAACCAGTTTGATAGGGGATTAGTACGCGGACTACCATATACCTGATGGTAACATAACCTAACCCCGTATCGATCGGATCTGTACCGAGCAGTAACGGTCGAAATCCAACTGTTACCGACCTATAGCGATCGGTAATGGTCAGATTTCGACCATTACTGATCAAGGGCTGAGATCACCCTATTTCAAATAGTCAAATTGACTGTTTGAAATATAGGAAAGGGTTTATAAACCCTTACATCCCACCTCTTTCAACTCATATCACTCTTTCAATCTCTTCAACTCTCTCAAACTCATTCTCACTCACATCGCTCACTCATTATTACATTTTCACTCTCATAAACTCAACAAAGGTACGATTTATGGATTAGATCAAATTTAGGAGGATTAAGAGGAAGATCTCCCTCGATCAGAATGTGGCGGAAGGAGTCACATAACATCAAGTCAAACTGCTCAAAGAACTAGAAACACCCAACTGTCATAGTCATCCACCCAGCGTGCAAAGACAAAGGCAAAGGCAAAGGGAAAGGCAGTAGCATTAGCCGCACCATTAGAAAGAATCGAGTCGGATGATGAAACACCTTCTTAATCGCATTTAACAACACGCTCAATCTAGAGACATGGCAGCGATGTGGGCAACAATGCCTTAACCGATAATATCGACGACACTGTGGAGTCAATGATCCCGACTACACATTTTGAGGGTGGTGAATGGATCCAAAAGCAGGATTTTACACATGCAACCCGAGATTCGGATCATGAAACTCGACAAGGTACTGGTCAAGTTTATACACGGAAGGAGAAAGGGAAGATAATGGATGATTTTGAGCAGATGCGACAGAGCCTACATGACGCAGACACAGAGCGACGCTTATTGTATTCATAACCATCGTATTATGGAGAATCTTATAACCAACAACAGTACAGTGATAGTTGGTTATACTTCGAGCAGTAGTACGATGATCGATCTTATGATACAGAACAACATATCAATAGCGAAAGTAGAAGTTCTAACATTCTCCATGCTTTGTACCAATACATGCCATAATCATACTTGCCTCAAGAGCCACCTCGGACACGTTTGATTCACGACGATCAAACTACGACTATCACTACATTGATGCACCAATGACATACAGTGTATAAGTATACTATGTCGTGGGATCAATTTCATGATTGAGTCCGATAAACATATCAAGCTTGATATACAGATACATCGGATCAAGGACCCCGATCCACCACCCATGGTGTCCCATCGTTCATTTTGGTGACAGAGTCAAGTATATTTATAGATCGATTATTTGATTGATTTGAATCTTAAAGTTTAAGTTTTTTAAAGAAAAATCTAACAATTCAAATCATTTCTCTGTAGATAATTCAATATTAACGGAATGACGATCCGAAATGTTCCACAAAACTATTCTACAAAGCCCGAAAAAGATGTGTCACTATTCTTTCCTAATTTAGATTATTTTCGCTAAAATTATACTAAATTCATATTTATTTCCAACTTAAAAACCCTTATCTTACTTTTTTTCTATTTTTCAAGTATTTTTGAGCTATTTTTTTATTTTTTTAGGCGTACCATCAATACGCCCCAACATACCATCGATACACCTCGGTATATACGGTACTGACCATTGGTCGGTACACTGGTACGGATCGAAATTGCGAACCTTGTGTTCAAGAACAAAAGTCATTTAAAATGTATTGATGTAATATCTTCAACTACTCAAACACATACAATCTTTATGTGGCTAGCATTTTGTGTTACCTACATTTCATAGTTTTCATATACAATGCAATGACTGATACAATGTCACAATCATTTTGAATTTACATTTACCTCCCTTGATACAATTGAAGATAAAATAATAGGATGTCCTAGGGTATTTTCAAGTTTAAGGAGAAAAATTGGACTTCCAAAGACAAAAAGGAGAGAGAAAAAATTAAATTCCTGTCATACTGTCTCTCTACGACCAAGCGAGATGAAGACTAATCCATTTTGGCCGATACATAGGAAATGTTTGTCATACTAATCATGTATCACCTTATATAGTCGAAATTCACACCAAACCCAATGGTCTATTTTGAGCTTATAAAATAAAAGCCCCTTCCTCCCCCTCTTTCGCTCACTCTCTTTCTCACTCCTCACTCTTATTAAAATTGTTTGATCTCCCTAAACAGTGATTAGTGGAAAACCTCTTATTTTGGATATAAGAGGGTGAGATCAAATGCAATTTGTCTCCAGTTGAAGGTATTTAGTTTCTTTCTATGTTGTCTTCATCATTTCATGTAATTAACATCAAGAATACTGGCAAATCATGATTTATTAGGGGGCTAATGAATAATTAAGATCTAATTAGAGATATCTAAGAAAAAATAGCTTGGATTAACCAAAGCAACTTTCTTCGTCAAAGGATCATGTGACGTAGTTCATCCTTGACAGATTCAAAAAGATAAGAATTTCATTTTTCAATCTTTATAGTCTATAATTTATATTCATTTATGGCTTAGATATATACTTTATAGTTTATTCTTATTTAAATTTAGTTTAAATACCAAGAAATTAGGATAGAAAAACCTGAAATATGATTTTCTAATTTCAACTGATTTTTCAGTTGTGTTTTCCGTTTACCAGTACATACAGACACATGGAATACCGACCGACATAGTACACTGACCAACACACTACTGGTACCAACCAGTACATATTGATCTGGTCTGGACAGGGATCGATACCAGTGGTCGGTATGTTATGTACAACAAACCTATTACAACGATTGAATAACCAATACCAAAAGGTAGCCTCTAACCTTGGTTTATTCTCTGGAAGTGTTAGAAACCCACAAAATCCTATTTAACGATTATAAAACCCTCTAAACATACTCTTCATTGCTTATGAACTTTCTTTGTCTTATCTATAACAAAAATAGGAACCAAAGTTAAGAATACAACCTAAAATATGACACTAAACTTACTGAAAATAACAGATAAAAACATATAAAATCAACATCTGAAAATAACAGAAAAACATAAAATCAAATTGAAAGGTTATTATTTTTAACAGAAAAACATAAAATCAAACAATAGAAAAACATAATCAACATAAAATTCTAAGATTATTAGTGTATTCCAAACTACACTACCAAATCTAGCATTCCATATGCCATTTACCATCTTTTTTTTCTCATTTTCACATAAAAGGGATTTAATCTGTTTCATTATTTCTTTTAATTTAAAAAATAAATTATGACACAAATTAGGAATTTTCAGCATTTTCACATATGTACTCACATAGCAAGCAGCATGCTCTTGAGAATACCACAAAGGTAGTATCAGTTACCAACAATTTGTGTTAAACAAGGGCATAAAGTTACTCTTGAACAAGGTTTGCTATTTTTGGCACCGGACTCATTCCAGCCCATGGTACCAAGAAGTGGGTGGGGGGAGGAGCAAGAGAAAGAAGAGAAGAAGAGGAGGAGGAAGGAAGGAGCAGGAGAATAAGGCGAGGAGGAGGAGATGGTGGAGAAGATGAAGAGGGGAGGAGGAGGTGGTGGAGAAGATGAAGAGGGGAGGAGCCCCAGCTGGTCGACAGACGCATATGAAGTGAGTAGTAGGCTGGCAATGATAAGCGACACGGAGGAGGTGTGTGCAAAGCAAGAGAAATTGTGTGCATGTGAGAGAGAGAGAGATGGGCAGGAGTAACTCTAAATAAAAAAATAAATAAAGAAGAACCAGGCGGTAAGCCCAATTTAATAGGTTAGAGAGAGAGGGAGAGGGCAGGAGTAACTCTAAATAAAACAATAAAAAAGACCCGGGTGATAAGCCCAATTTAATAGGTTTATCAGGCGAGGACTCAGACTGCCCAAAAAGGGGTGGGAGACATCCTGTTTCATGCCAGACCCATAAAAACCAATCAGTTGTACCAGTCCGAATAAATGCAATCCTTGCCCTTGAGCTCGGCAAACAGAAGGTAAAATATATTCTGCAATCTGCATGAAGCAGAAAACATAATTCAATATAAGTTGGCTGTTCTGTCTTTATGAGCTACACGATCACCGTATACATCGAATTTGGCCATCTTCAACCTCACGGTTCTAGTTGTCCAAATTCTGAGACACGGAAACAGTCAGTTACTTTTTTCAACAATCATATACTGCCCTTTCAGATCTCTACTCAGCTACATTCTCAATCTCCATTCTTTCTAACTAAATGATATAACAAGCTATTATTTACTCACAAATGAGTGATAGAAAAACGTTGCTGCCACACTTGTATCTATTGACCACATATTGATAAATTACAATAAATAAGTTCAAGGGGTAAGAGACAGTGTTGCATAAGAAAATTTTGTTCTTGGTCGAAAGAAGAAAACTTCTCCAAGGAAACAAATTATCACCCAGTTAAAATAATACTTATTAGCACTCATTCATGACGTGTCATAGTATTTTGCCAAACATCTTTTGCCAATACTATAGGTCCATAATGTAGCTAGCTGCAAATCTAATCAATCAAATTATCATAATTCATAACCACAGATAATTAGTACCACATTTTATGACACAACAGGAACATTTCGTGATCAAATTTTGCCTTCATAAATTCCGATACTTATATTTATTGCTGCATAACAAGATGGAGCCAACCTTCTAATTATAACAGTTCTTTTTATCTCCATCAGACTCTGAAAAAACAACGGCCTTCATGCAAAAGAAAGCCCTTAGCAATAGAATCCATGGGTCGAAGATAACATAAACCACTTTGTACAATCAACATCAAAGTTAACTTTTGCTAGGAAAAGGTTTTGCACCTTTACTCTCACATTATTCTAGATGGTACAGGTCATTTAATCTCGAGTTCTACTACGGTAGAAGAATCCATATGAAGTGAAAGCACTTTTTCTTCTAACTCTTTGAGTTTTGGATCTCTTGTTCCCGCGACAGAAATTGGGCCCTGTATAGAAAGGTAGATAATGATTGCTATCTGTTATCAAGAACCGCAACCATTCAGCTAGCTTAGAGTTACTCTCAAACCAAAAAATGGATCGGATTATTGCCAGATAATCATAAGCAACCCAACCTATAAAGATTATTAAACCCAGATTAGCTCCAAAACGATGCCAATTTTTTACAAAGGTAGAATCTTTAACCTAGGGCATAATCTTAAACATCGATCAAACTGTATTTCCGACCCAAACATGACAGCAACAAATTGGGAAGTCCGCAAACAACATTCAGCAGCCACATATCTAGGCGGAGCAAGATAAATCGAAACAAAACAAAAAAAAAATCCGATTTTAACAGCTGGAACTGCGACCAGCGGAGAAGAAACGGCTGGAACGGATGCAGGATCAGCAAAGAAAGATCCCCATGTAGGAAAGAGGAAAGGAATTGGTTACCTAGATGGAACTCATGCCCACATTGGAGCTTAGCGGTGGATCTCCTCCCCTTATCCAAAACCAGCTCGAGGCAAATCGAGCAAGCAGGGGCTGCCGCCGTCCCCTTCCCCACAGACGAGAAGTCCGTCTTCTCCAGATCCATCGCCTTCGAATCGCTCATCAACCCGTTCCCTCCTCCCAACTCCAGATCCAAGATCGTGATTCAAAGCTCTGGGATGCCTCGATCGATGATTCCTCTTGCTTCCACCATGATAAGACAATCCAAAAAACCAAAAAAAAAAAAGGCAAGGAGAGAGGAGAGAGGAGAGAGAAAGAGACCGGAGGAGGTATTCGGACAAATGGAAGAACCTGAAATGGCTACTCGCTTCAGATTTCGAGGATAAATATTATTCTTATTTTCTGATCTGATAATAATAATAATAATAATTATTATTATTATTATTATTGAGGGCTCTTTTTCCAATAATACCCTTAAAAGGCATATCATGGCGTGTTGGTTTTCGCTTATCGGGTCGAAAACCATTAACTGTAATGTTTGGCTGAAGCCAAACTCGGTTGGTCAAAATTGATTTGATTGGACCCAAAAGATAATTAGTATTGGCTAACTTGAGTCAAGAAGTTGTTGTAAACATTAACTATGTAATATGTGTACCTAACGTTGAAAATAATTTTTTATATTAAAATTAAAATTAAATAATATTAAATTGATTTTTATGATGTGTATTTTTGATGTCATCTGAAAATGAAGCATCATCTCCAAAATCATTATCAATATGTAAGGAGAATAAGATACTCCTCCTCTTTTCTTATTTTTTTACAGTATCACTTAGATTGATGGTTTAAGGAGGATAAGAGAAATTATAATATCTCAACTACGTGAGATACGCTGTTTAACCCATAAAGGTCATGTCTATTTATAAGTGAGAACAAATATCTAGGATAAATTATTAAGAGAGTTCTTCCCATCAAGAATATCCTCTAAGAAATCATATTTTATTATAAACTTCTTTTTTATTATTTAATATCAATCATTAAAATCTAATTAATCATATTATATATCTTATCTAATTATAAAATATCATATTAAAATATATATATGATATGGTTATTTCAACTTGCATCGGATCGAAATGAACCAAGTATTTATTGATTTGGTCAAGTGCAAACGAGTTCGTCCTAGCCATTCATTCATCACAATCAATTTGATCTTTTGACTGATCTGAATCAGTCTCGCTATAAATCTACACCAACTGATTGGTTGGACATAACTCAATTTTAGTCCGATCAAATTCATCAAAATTGATTTATTTTGGATGTTCTTTTTGAGTAAGATAATATTATAGTGTCCTTTTTCTCCTGAAAGCATTTATATTTATCTTTTACCCTCATTGGCTTTGTGTAAGATAATATTATAAAATTCAAATAAAGCTCATTCAAATTTTTATTATTTTTTAATATTTATTATCAACCATTGAAACTATCCTTGAATTATTATTTGTTAAATAATATTTATTAAATAATATTTATTCATCCATTGGCTTTGTGTAAGATAATATTATAAAATTCAAATAAAGCTCATTC